CCCCCCCCCCCCCTTTTTGCTCCTTGGAGGTAACAGTGGCGGTGCAGGGGAGGGGAATGGGGTTGGGATGCCGTGGCAGGGCAAGGACACTGGCACTGGCCTCAGCTTGCCCTTCTCCACCTTCTGTGATTGCCACTTGCAGGGCCGGCTGTGGTGGTGGGGAAGGAAGGAGCAGGCCTGTGCACACTCTTGTCCTCCCCCTACTGCCACGGTGGGGAATGGAAGAGCGGTCCCAGACCCCAAGCGGAAGGTGTTGAGCAGGCCCTGGCCCAGCATGGGGGGAGGAGTGGGCCTGGACCCCAAGCAGCAGGAGGTAATGGGAGAGTGGGCCTGAAAGGTGGGGTGGGACATGGGGCTCTGTGCCCGCCCTCCCTCCCCAGTTCTTGACAGGCAATTGCCTAGTTTGTGTATAGTAACTTTGGAAATCTGACGGAACGAATTAGGTGAAAGTATGACCACTATACTTTTGTAACTGCCTTATGTAATTAGGTTTTTTCATTTCTAGATTTCAAGGTTGTTTCCTGCCTGTAACAACTTCTTTTGGATAAGTTGAGAGTGAAGCATCTGGCACCAGCTGTCACACCTATACCTGCCATGATGAAAAGTTGCATAAGGTTCCTTTTTCCTTTACACTTTCACCTTTTATTTTGGTGTAGCTGTTTCAAGATAAGCTGGTCAATTAGTAAGTGCATTCTTGTGGGGATTTCTGTTTTTCACTGAGCAGAAGTTTGATTCTGAAAGTAAGCAGTAGACTAGTATTAGTATGGGGTCAAATCAGAGGTTATATTCTAAGATGAATCAGCCCTGGCAACTGTTAGTTCATTTCCCAAACTCTTAAAAGGCTATGCCACCTCACTCCCACAATTCATTTCTTTCTGCATCTCTGGCATTTGGTTGCTGCTCATTCAAGACCTATATCATGTACAACTATATAGTGGCTGTATTGTATAAATACACTCCTGTAACACTGAAAGCAGTATTTTTGCGTAGAGCAGCAGCTTCTTTTTCCTTAAAGATTTAGCTTCAGTTGACAATTTATTTTGTGTTGTGTATGCCATGTTCAGAACCTGTTTCTAAAGCAGTATCACAAAAACAAGATTGATATGGCTGATTGATACTTCAAGGTGAGCATGTTTGAGACTAATCCTATAGAAAATGGGTCAGACTGACTTGTATTAGATTTTCATGTTTAACAGTGTGAGTGAGAATTTTGGATTGCCAGATTAGTTTAAAAAACTATATCTTAAAAGGCAGTCTTGGTTTGGCATATGGGCTCATATTTGGGAAACTTTCTCACCCTGAGTGATCTGTACGGTGTACAGACGGGTAAAATTGGGTAAGATGTACAATGATGAAATCCCTGTCTCTCTGAAGTCACTGTGGGGGTTTACCATCACCTTCATGGTGGTAGGACTTAACACAGAAATATAAATATAGAATATAGCTCATTTTCTATTAAAGTATTGAATTTGTATTTGTTTTTAAAAGGCAAATGGCAGTTTAAAAGTGATTCCTCCCCCCAAAATTAGCAATTCCCAATTTTGCCTGAAGTTCTTATTTTTATGAAAAATTTTATGTTTTTTGGAAACTCTTATTAAATATAGTATCTAACAAGATTTTGGTTAAAAAATGGGTAACCATTTGATATCTTTTATTTTTAGGGAAATATTTTAAAGCAAGTAATTTTGAAAATTTAAAATAAAAAATGTGTTCCAAGTCCTTCCAACCTTTCAATGAAAATAATTGATAATCTTCTCGAGAATCTTACCAGGGATTGAGGTCAAGCTGATTGGCCTGTAATTCCCAGAATCTACTTTCTGCCCTTTCTTGAAGATGGGTACCATATTGGCCTTCTTCCTGTCTTCAGATACTTCACCTGAGCACAATGAGTTTTTGAATATTTTTGCCAATGGTTGGGCTATGACACCTGCCAGTTCCTTGAGTACCCTAGGGTGTTATCTGTCAGGACCAGCTGACTTGAAGGTGTCCAGCCTCTCAGGCGATCCTTTACTAGATCAACACAGATGTTGGGTATAAATACGCCATCACCCAGCTGTCCTTTGTTTTGCTAGGCAGGGTGGTCCCATTGGACCGATGAAAGGCTGATGCGAAGTACCCACTTAATGGGGTTGTCAGTTGGCCTTTCCCTGGGTGTCAGTTATCAGCTGTCCTGTTTGGTTCAGCAGGGGTCCAATGTTACTCTTGCTTTTTTTCCGACGCCCTACATATTTGAAAAAGGACTTTTTGTTATCCTTGATCTGTGAAGCCAGATGGAGCTCGGGTGGAGCCTTGGCTTTCCTGATCCACTCCCTACAGGTATGGACCAGTGCTGAGTACTGCTCCTTGGTGATAATTCCAGACTTCCATCCTTTATAAGTCTCTCTTTTGAGGTGTAGGAGGTCCTCAGGTTCCCTGCTAAGCCAAGGGGATTGCTGAGCCCTTTTGCTACCCTTCCTCTGAGATGGGAAGGCCATCCCTTGTGCTGTCAGGATTGCTCCCTTGAGGAGCAACCACTCCTCTTGGACTCCTCTTCCAGTCAAGTTCTGGTTCCTTAGGGCCTTGACAATGAGCCTCCTGAGCTTGTCAGTCAGCTTTCCTGAAGTCAAGGACTTATGTACTGCTGACTGACTTGCCAGCTTTGCAATGGATAGTAAAGGTGATCAGCTTGTGGTCACTATCACCCAGCTTTCTACTGATTCTTAGGTCACTGGCTATGTCATTCCCTTTGGCTAGTACCTGGTCCAGCAACGCTTGACCTCTTGTCAGCCCACAGACTTCTTGAGTCAGGTAGAGTTCATCCATGCACATGAGGAAGCTTTGCAACCGATCAGATTTGGCTGAGTACTCATGTGAGATGTCTGGGCAGTTAAAGTCTCCCACGATAACCATGCGATGAGAGCATGCAGCCTCAGCCAGTTCCCTGGTGAATTCCTGGTCCAGCTCTTGTTTCTAGTTAGGAGGTCTGTAATAGACTCCTACCATGACATCCCCTGAGCCGTGTTCCCTACGTATTTTAACCCAGAGAGACTCCAGTCGTCCTTCCTGGGTGCCAGTGTCAATTTTGGAGGGATGTGTAGCTGTCCTTGATATAGAGAGCTACCTCCACCTCCCCTTTTATCTTCATGATCTCGCCTGTACAGGATATAGCCACCTATACCTGTGGCCCAGTCATAGGTGGAGTCCCACCAGGTCTCCATTATCCCTATGAGGTCGTAGTTATTCTTGTTTAGTAGGAGGACCAATTCCTCCTGTTTATTCCCCAAGCTTCTGACATTGGTGTACAGGCAGGCAACTGTCCCATTTGGGGCCCCTGCCTTCCCTACAGATTGTTTCGGGGCTAGGGTAGGGGTGGGTTCCCTTAAGTGCCTTAGCCTGTTGGATTTACAAGGGTTGACCAGTGGGCTTGCAGTGCAAATAATCCCCTGTAACCCCCAGTAGGCTTAGTTTTAAAGCCCGATCGAACAGGTGAGCCTGTTTGGCTGGGAAGAGCCTCCTCCCCAGCAGGGTGAGGTGGAGGCTGTCTATCCCCAGCAGACCACTGCCTCTCTCACCAAAGAGTGGACTGTGATCATGGAAGCCAAAGCCTTCATGATGATGTCAGTACCATAGTCTTTGGTTGACTACCTCAACCCGTCTCTCCCTCCTCCGTCCATGACCCACAACTGGGAGGAGTGAGGAGAACACCACCTGCGCCCCTAAGCCCTGCTCCCAGAGCCCTGTAGTCTCTCATGATACGGCTGGGATTGCTCCGAGCCGTGTCATTTGTGCCCACGTGGATAAGGTGCATAGGGTAATGGTTGGAGGGCTGGGTAGTCTTTGGGATCCTCTCTGCTATGTCCTGGATGTGGGCCCCTGGGAAGTAGTGGACCTCCCGGACTAGGGGGTCAGGACGGCAGATTGCCCCCTCAGGAGGGAGTCTCCCACAATGACCACTCTGCATTTTGTCTTGGGGAGAGTAGGGGTGAGTGGTCTTCTCATGTCTGCAGGAGCTGGCAGCTCTGCAGGCTGTACTGGGGCTGCAAGAGGTTCACCTCTTGCAAAGCTCCAGAGGGGAGGGGACCTTGGTGCGGTGGGCCTTGGGGCCCTTGAGCACCTTGGTCCAACTCCCTGGCTGGACAGTATGGGAGATCCCTGAGTCCTTCCTTGTCCTGGGAGATGACCTTGGTCTACCCTTCACCTTCAGGGGGTGAAGGGCCTGGCAGCAGGAGTCTGTCTTCTGCTCACCATCCCTGATGGCACGCAGTCTCTGGACTGGGGCCTGGAGCTCCTCTATCTGGCACCCCAGAGACTCCAAAGTGCAGCAAACCTCACAAGGGGAGGTGGCCATGCTCCCAGTCCCACGAGCCTGGAAATGTGCCAGGCAGCCCCCGCAGCCAAGAGCCAGAGGCTCCGTCTGCGTGGAGCCTGGAACCATGGTTTCTGTCTGGGTGGAGGCCTCTGAGGCCCCAGAGGGGGAGGCCGCAGACCCCGAGGGGTGCAGCGTGTGCCCATCCGCAGCATGCCACTGGTAGACCTGCTACTGATGGGACTACCTTACCTAGAGTGTACTGGCAGGGCCGTGGGCCCTCCTGCTCACCCTCCTGCGCAAACTCCTGCACTAAACTCCCGTGCCGGCCCCAGAAGCATGCCTGTTTGCGTGTCCTGTTTGCGAGGCTCCGGTCACGTGGCTCCCTGGGGGGCTGGGCAAAGTAGGAGCCGGGTGGGGAGGCGTGACCTTCCTCTGCTCCACTCAGCTGCCTCCCTGCTGGGCTATGTCCCTCCCACCATTGGTCCATGCTTACCTGCAGGCTGGCTGGGGCTCATCAGGGGGTCCCTGGGCTCACAGGGGCGCAATGGGCTTTCACCTGTGCGTTTCGCACCGGAACCCGACTGCGGCTTCTGCTGTTGCTGGGCCCTTTTTAAGCTCCTCTGCCTTTTTTGTTTTTCTAAATAATGCTCACTCTTATACAAATGTTATAGCATTTTATAAACTTATTCTCAGCTCGAAGAAATCCCCATGCAGCCCAGAGCTGGCTGGGAGCTACCCCAGAAGCAGGACAGCTGTTGTCCAGGCCTGGGCTGCACAGGGAAGCCCCACTGGGTATCAGGCTTGTCCCCATGTGCACAGGGCCAGGAGAGTTCCGCAGTGGCAACTATCTCCTAGCCTCGTTCACACCAGGACCTCTCCTGATTGTGTACGGGGCAAGAAGACAGCTGCTGCTGCAGCTGGCAGAGCTTTCCTGCCCCTGTGAGTATGGGGACCAGCCTCATGCTCCCTGCTAGCCCTTGGCCTAACACTCTGGGGGAGCCTGGATCTCCCTGTGGCTGTTGCAGGGGGCCAGAGATGGGTAGGAGCAGCTCTATAGTGGACTTTTACTGTGCAGTAAGCCTTTATTTAACTGCATAATTTAACTTCACAGTAAGCATTTATAGCATCAATAGCATGTGTAGACATGCCCAGAGTTGCCCCCCACTGCACCATGTGCCCATGACCCCCTTGATTCTCTCCATCTCTGCTGCATTCCACACCTCAGACTTATTCTCAGGTCCCTGTGCAGCTGCACTGCTGCGCCCTCTGAGTGGGCTCAGGAAGCATCAGCCTAGATACTTCACCTGGACCAATGGAAACAGCTCT